GTGTTAGACTATATTGCAAGTAGCCTACATCAGTTTTTACCCTAAATCCCACTTTATCTGCTGATGCAATTCAGTAACAGGCTCGTTAACACTTAAGTTAACCAATTATCACGCAGCAATGACATTTTAAAATATACTGGGGTTCTATGCTAAGCTTACGACTGTTTAATACAATGTAGGCTACCGTCAAAAAAGAAAAAACCCGGGAGCTAACTGGCTGAAATAGTGTGAAAATTACTTGTGCTAGCTGTATTTTCTGTTTTCTTCTTACCTCTGTGGCACTAACTGTTCTCCGCTGCAGCAGCCGAATTTAAACTTTTTGAAAAGAGTTCGGTTAATGTTAAAGCATTTAGCAGCGTCGGACGTAAGCCCTTTTTGTTTCCTTTCTCAAAGTTTTTCTGCACCACCTTTCCCTTTTTACGGTCCATTATCTAGCTTTTACTGAAAATTAGCTTGTGTTGCAATCTCTCTGATGACGTGCTTGATTTTGACTGAACGGTTCGGTCGGCCCATCTCGGGACCAGGCAGCCGGCCGTGGCCAACTGGGCCAAATGCTTAACATTTATTTATTATTAACATTATTATTATTATTATTATAACCATAGAGAAATCGTGCAAGTGATTAAAAACCCGTCCTATGCGCTGTTGGCCCGTAAAATTTTTTTTATTTATATATATTTAGAAAAAATCTGACCGGCCCACATTAAACAAAATGGTTCGGCCCCTCTGGCATTTGCCAGAATTGCCAGATGGCCAATCTGCGGCCCTGCATGGTATAGATTGAGAGGTGCGTTTGTCCCCAAATTCAGATGCATGGATTACAAATTAATTTGCATTACACTTACATGTCCATTCTATATTGTAAATACTCACTGTATTCAATATGGCACACAGTAGAATTTTTTAGAGAGAAAAATTTTAAAGAGAAAAAAAATGAATCAGTAAATTTTTAATATAGCTACTGTGTGAATAATTTATGTAATCCATAAAAAGTAACTGTAATCTGATTATGAACATTTTAAAATGTAATGCAATCTAATTACAAGTACAAAACATTTGGAATCTGATCATGTAATCCAGATTACATGTAATCAGTTACTACCTAGCACTGTTTAAGAGATTTAAAGGGGTCATGAACTGTATTTTATTTTATTATTTCATGTTTCCTGAGGTGCACTTTTAATGTTCGAATGACTCTTACATTGAAAATTGTATGGAAGCCCATTTACGCCACTGAATAAAAAATAAAACAAGGTAATTGCGACTTTTTATCTCACAATTCTGACTTTTTTTCCTCAGAGTTACGTGATATAAACTCGCAATTCAGACATTTTTTTGCAATTGCGAGTTATAAAGTCAGTTGCGTGATATAAACTCGCAATTGCGAGTTATAAAGTCAAAATTGCGAGTTATAAAGTCAGAATTGCGAGATATAAACTTGCAATTCCAAGAAAAAAAAGTCAGAATTGCAAGATATGAACTCGCAATTCTGAGAAAAAAAGTCATAATTGCGAGTTTATATCACACAATTCTGAGAAAAAAGAAATGGTTTCCATAAAATTGTAATTGTAAATGTCAAATTAAAAAATTTATCTGTGTTAGTAATGTTTTTTTTGTTCACTAATTAAGCAGTACTTAAAGTGTTCTTTAAATAATAACTGGAAAGCGAAGTTACATTTGTAAAGAGAGTTACGTTTCTTTTCTTTTTTTTTGCTGATATGAAAAATGATCTGTTCCATGACTCAAAACCCATAAAAAGTTCCGAACCGTGAGTCTTGTGATTAGTTTCACCAATATTTCTTAGTGTTAAGAAAAAAATACTTAGATTCCACATACAATTTATGAAAACAAGTCTTAATATTTTATATTACACTACATTCATTTCTGAAGTAAATTCATACTATTTAGGCTTAAACGTTTTTATGTATTTGGTTTGGTAAACTTAATTAAAATAGATTTAGTTTATCTTATATTATTGCACAGCTCTTATCATGGTAACTAATGTCACACTCATAGTTGGTTGGAGCTTTCAGGTTAATATAAAAGGTAATCCACACATACACAATGCAGGTTTGTAACTTTTCTGCTATGTGCAAGTTTTGTGTTGATCATTTTTAGGATGTGTAAATTATTTTGGTGGGGAATCATTATGAAGTATCTAAGTGTAGAATCACAACATCTATGAATTAATAAACACTTCAGTTCTCAACTGTTTATTTATTTAAATTCCTGCAGGTTTAACTCTATCCTATTGGGTGTTTTAATATTTTCTTCATTAGGATTATGACAAACTGGAGTGGTGTAGTTCATATATTGTTAAAACGTTTGGCTGTAAAACTCTGTTATATCTATGGTTGATTTACCTTGATTTTCTCTCTGTTCCTCTGCTGTCTCTAAAAATTTCATTTGATCGGTGAGGAGAAAGAAAAGATGCATAAAGAATGAGATAAATAAAAGAAACAAATAAATATTGTTAGATATCATTCCATAGTATTAAAATGATGTTAGTCTTAGTCATGTGAGTCCTATTAAAATTACTATGAGGTTGTAACATTACCAGTCTTATCATAGTAATGTAAATGTACCATTTCCTGCAGGATTTGAGCCATAAAAGTTTATTGTTCCACTGATGATGTTTCGAGCCAATAAAGGAGCATATACACTTGCACGTGTTTCAGCTTTTATATCCTGGCTGACTCCAGTCTGGTCATTTTTCATCTGGACTGAATCAGAGTGTCCTGAACGAGAGAGATTGATTCATGATTTTTTAGACAGATTTGCTTGCATTACAACATCATATATAATAGCGATATTCATTCCTTTATTAAGGGGTCAGTATCCACACACACTTTTTAAGCATACCATGTAATAATATAAACATTAATACATTTTTATGCTTTCTGACTCTGTTGGTGATGTGTTCAAAGAACCCGTTAACTGGAATCCACAATACTAGCCACCATCTTTTATCTAAACAACAAAACTTTAGTGTTACTTGCTAAAAAAAACTAAAATGATTGTCAAATACTCATCAAATACAGACCAAATGTAACTTACAACTAGATGTTTGGTTTAGTTTAAAGTTTCTCAAACTAGGGTCCCCAACAAGGCTAAGTGATAATGTACAGGCAGCAGATTGTTATGCAAAAGAAACCTCATCAGCGTGATACAAAATTAAATAAAAAATGTAATTATTAATTTATTATAATTATAATAATACATTATTTACTGGTTATTTGTGATACAAGATACAAAATATAAATTCATGATGCATGTTTCTGCATTTAGCATGGACAGGTTTGTGAAAGGACTAATAATAAATCTACTTCAAACATCACAACTAGCAGAGCAACACAAAAAGCAAATAGAACCTACTATAATCAGTGATGCGGTCTATGCTGGATTCAGCGCAACAAATTCCTGACAGTAAACTGATGTCCCGTTCTATTTCTGACATCATAAATTCTGACAAAAAAATTCTGTACAAAAGAAAGGCTGGCAGAAAAAGTTTGGGAACCAACTCTTTGATTTCTTTGTTCTTTAGGTTTTGTATCTTTGCTTCTCTTCATGTTCATATCATGTTTGATAATAAACTTCTGGACATGGATTCATGACCCCAGCTCTGTCTGAGTCTTATTGTTACGTTAAAGTTGCTTCACCTTGTTTTTTTCCATGTTTCTCTTCTGTGTCTGGGCATTCATGTTCATATGTGAAGAAAAAGATGAATAGAGAATGTTAAAATATAAACAGAAGTTACAGATAAATATTAAGTGAGATATTGTTCCGTCGAACTAATAAAAGTGTCTCAACTAGATGTTCTGAACTTCAGTCGTCTGTAACAGCAACAGCATCTGTAAAAGGCGTTTCTGTTTTGATCCTCATCCAGTGTATCCATCTGCTCTGACGTCATCTTCTGTCACCGACTCACTTCTGCTGGACAAGAAAAATATCTGTCTTTTCCTACAGTAGTACTACAGCAAAGAAAAAAGCTATTCTACAAACAGGATGATGGCCTTGCACTGTACTGTTTTAGTATTTAAATTAGGGTGCAAATAAAATTTGTCCGAGTAAAGTCTGGAGAGGCTGATTCATTGAGGACTGTTGGAATGCAGCTGAAATCATTCAGAAACAACATCCAGTCTGTATGTGATAATCATATCTAATCATATGATGAAAATTTTTTTGTTTTTAAGAGATTTTTCAGTAGGCTAACACCACAGTGTCACAATAATCTCAGAATCTAATCTAATCCACAATAATCTCAGATTGACATCTACAGGCTGCAGTTCAGATAGTCATATGGCTTGAGCAGGCTTTGATCTTTCAGTCTAATCTTATAGTGTTTGTGTTGGACAGACAGAGAAAGCAGATGGTGAGATGGGCTGTGGCTTGTGTGTTTCTGAAGGCAGAAATATGTATATTGGCTGTAGCAGCTGGACCAATAAAACACACAATTATTCATTATATTCAATGAATAATCCAATATGTCTCATAAATGGCGGCGCGAACGGACCGAGCGGCCCCTCTCTTTCCGACATCGGTGTTTAATTGTGCACTTTCGAGTGCTTTTTGTTCACGTTCATGTTTGTATGGTTTGCCGTCATCATTGTCCCATGTAAGATACAGTCGCCATTTCCTTTTGGAAACTGAAACAAGGACAATAAACCACATCTTGGACAACACAGTATCCGAGGAACTTCGAGCCCTTGGTATATTGCGCTGGCCGACTAAAACACCGACCTCGCCTGCTGTTCCTCACCCAGAGAGGAGGCGCCGAATGCGCTGCGAGAGGAAATAGAAGCGAGGCAAACGCGGAGGCATCCGGGCTAGGCTAGCCGCTAGCCCACACAGACCCGCGATACCATCCCTCATTCTAGCGAATGTAAGATCACTGGATAATAAAATGGACCACATACAACTTATAAGATCTGCACAGTGTGAGGTGAGAGAATGTTGTGTTTACATCTTTACGGAGACATGGTTAAATGACAACATACCGGACTCCGCTATCCAGCTAGCTGGGCTAACATGCTGTCTGTGCTGAGGGAGGTAAGACTCGGGGCGGAGGTGTTTGTGTTTATGTCAGCGACGCTTGGTGCCATAAAGCTGCTGTTGTTCGTAAACACTGTTCTCCGCTGGTAGAGTTCATTATTATCAAGTGCCGACCCTTCTACCTACCGAGGGAATTTACAGTAATTTTACTCGTCGCTGTTTATATCCCCCCCAGCGTTAACAACAGCGACTGAATCGAGGCACTCAGTGAACTTTACCAGGCTATCAGCGAGCAACAGACAACACACCCGGACGGATTTCTCATCACTGCTGGGGACTTTAATCATGCAGATTTAAAGTCTTTTCTACCAAAACTTCATCAGCACATAGACTTTCCCACAAGGGGCAATTATACATTGGACTTGGCATACACAAACTGCAAAGGAGCATACAAAGCCTCCCCCCTCCCCCACCTTGGACTCTCTGACCACATCACCATCATGCTCAGACCTGCATACAGACCGAAGGTGAAAGTCACCAGACCAACCAAGAAGGAGGTATGTGTGTGGCCAGAGGGGGCCCAGTCTGCCCTTAAAGATTGCTTTGACACAACAGACTGGGACACCTTTAAAGAAGCAGCAACTTACAACAACCACACAGACATAGAGGAATATACTGAAGCTGTTACTGCTTACATCGCAAAGTGCACCGATGACGTCACACACAGGAAAACCATCACTGTTCGGGCTAACCAGAAACCATGGCTGACAGGATAAGTGCACAAGCTTCTGAGGGCTCGGGACGCAGCCTTTAGAGCTGGTGACACTGCAGGCCTAGCAACAGCAAGAACCAACTTGTCCTGTGGAATCAGGGAAGCAAAACAACAATACAGCAATAAAATATCTGGACATTTCAGCAACACTAGAGACACACAAAATCTCTGGCAAGGAATACCATTTTTTTATTAACCTACTTGTATTAGTTTTCACATAACTTGTACACATTTTACTAGTTAGACTTTTTCCAAACTATAATTACTGACTAAATGTATAATCAAGTGAAACATTATGAAGTTTCATTCACAGCATTTAAATGTCACGATGCCAGGGTGTTTTTTTATGTTCTATAACAGACAGAAATACGATATAAAAGTAATATGAGTTATAATGTTACTAGCCTAATGTCAGTAAGAATGATTAGTCAAAACTTTACTGTGATATGATATTCTCTGTTCACGAATATAGCCATATATGTTTGTAACTATAGTTTTTGGATTGTATAGGCCTACATACAAAGCATGCTTGTGTTTATGAATGTAACTAAGCTTCTGTTCATGAATATCTGCTCTGGTGTAAATATTTTGAATGTGTTATACCCGTGTCTTATGGAGTAATGACGCTGAAATGTTTGAAACCGTTTCAATTTTCGTTTAGGACTGTGGCTGCATCACCGGCATCTTCCACAAGAAAGGCACACGCATGTCGTTCAGGTTTGAGTTCGCTGGAAAATCCTACTGAGTAAGTGCACACAGTATAAATTGTAATTGTATTATTCCTAGAATATGTG